AATGATAATTCCACTTAATTAAGTGATTAATTCGAGTGTTAGTGTTTTTAGAGGTGCAAATCGAAAGTTTGAGGAGGGTGGTGCAAATCGAAAGTTTGAAGGGGGTGCAAATCGAAAGTTTGAGGGGGTGACACCATTAAGTGCCTCACCGGGTGACACCCGACCTCGCTACGCCACTGCATAATATGCATTAAATTTAAAGCTCGTTGGTTAAAAAATTGGACAGAGGCTGGTTTGGAAGATTTTTGCCAACAAAATTGGGTGAAAAGTATAACATAAGGAGGAATAGTCGAAAACAAAACTGGTTTGCATGGATTCTATCCCATTCTATACAATAAACATAGTAAATACAAAAGAAAAATGAATACAAACGAATAAAAACTATTGGGGTAGGTGGGGGGAGGGGGAAATTTTTTTTTTTTTTTATATTTGTAAATTAAGTACACAGGAAACAAGGGCTGGTTGACAAAATGTACAGATCTCATGGTGTGTGCTCTCACCCTAAGTATAACCAGTAGATTAGTCACACACACATAAATAAACTAAGTTGTTTTACACAGATTTCATTTACATTTGTACAATAGTGAATTACAAAAATAGATAAATAAGTAAATGAATACATATTCGAAACTGATGTGGGGGTGGGTGGTGAGGTCGTTGGAACAGTTAAAAAGGGTGTAGGGTTATTATGTCTGAGGTTGATGTGGGCAGGGGGGGGGGGGGGGGGGTAGGTAGAGGTGTCTGACGAGGCATGAAGAGAGTGTCTGTGTGTGCTTAAGCCAAGCCAAGCGTCAAATTATGTTGGTGTTTTTTCAGTGTGTGCATTTTTCTTTTTGCGCATTTTTCTGTTTACGCATTTTTTCCATGTCGCATATTTTTTGCACTTTTTTCCTTTGCGCATGTGTCTGAGAACCATTTTTTTTATAAATGGGAATAATCGACAGTTGGAAGGGGGTGAGGATTGCTCCTGGAGCGGATTATTTCCGAGTGTAATTGACGGGAGAAAATGTATTGCTTCCTTATACACATTTTAATAAAGACCCAGTAGCGGGGGGGGTAGCAGGGGGAGCGGCAGCTCCCCCTCTGGCCATTTTTAGCAAAGTGGCGCCTTTTTGGAAACTTTTTAAACTCAAAGTTTTTAACATTGATATTTGTTAAAAAATTATCTTTGGTCGGCACATTTGAAACGTAAATCTCTGTGAATATTGTTTTTTTCAATTACCAGTAAAAGGTGTGTGAGCAATACAGTAATCTAACCCATACCTTCTCATTATGTTAAAAAATTATCTTTACAAAACCCAACTAGTCAGTAGCAATTTTAAAAAATTGCATAAATTGAAATGTAAGACCGATATTATTTATATATGTAGGCTATTATTATTATTCCGAATGTTTAACTTGTAGAGTGAAAAGCTGGGTTTTATAACAACTCTGATTTAAAAAACGTTCATTATGCAGTAATACTTTAGCATTTATAATGACAATATATTTAATTCTGATTTTAGACAAATAATTTTTGTAAAAACGAATAGTGTTAAGCTACTTTATTAGATTCTAAAGTAATTATTGATTTGTTTTGATATTTATAATAAAATGTGTAGACATATACATATTTATATTAAGATATTGATTATTTTCCCTTTTCTCTAGTCTTAGATGTCCCAGGAATTATTATGTAATTTTTTTACAAAAAATATGAAACAGATTATGCCGCGTTCATTGTTTTTTGGTTGCAGGGTGTTTATATATATATATATATATATATATATATATATATATATATATATATATATATATATGTGTATATATATATATATATATATATATATATATATATATATATATATATATATATATATATATATATATATATATATATATATATTTTTTTTTTTTTTTTTTTTTTTTTTTTTTTTTTTTTTTAGAGTGAAACCATATTTTTTTTGTTTCGTCGGCCTACATTGTGTGTTTTTTTTCTATTTTTTGATATTTATAATAAAATGTGTAGACATATACATATTTATATTAAGATATTGATTATTTTCCCTTTTCTCTAGTCTTAGATGTCCCAGGAATTATTATGTAATTTTTTTACAAAAAATACGAAACAGATTATGCCGCGTTCATTGTTTTTTGGTTGCAGGGTGTTTATATATATATATATATATATATATATATATATATATATATATGTGTATATATATATATATATATATATATATATATATATATATATATATATATATATATATATATATATATATATTTTTTTTTTTTTTTTTTTTTTTTTTTTTTAGAGTGAAACCATATTTTTTTTTGTTTCGTCGGCCTACATTGTGTGTTTTTTTTTCTTCAGAGTGCTTATTTAAATTTATTTTACATGATATCGCAGCAATAACATACAGCATATATATATATATATATATATATATATATAATATAAGCGGGCAAGTAGTGTGTCAGTCCTTCTGTCATCGCTATAGATTTTGGAACCATAAAAGTAAACAACGCACCATGCAGTGCTTTTCAGTGCACCGCAGTGTCTTATTATAAGTAATTTAGTAGGGTTTGTTTATATAACGACATAGAGCTATTTTATAATTGCCACTGTTTTTACTTTTTTGCATAACGTAAAGAAAATATTAAATACACGCACACTGCTAAAACATATTAACAAGATTAATGTCAAATATCATTTTCGTTTATATTCCCAGAAAAAGTGGATACATTTCAATAACATAATAACAGTACGGTAGAAAAATCAAATTCATTTAACTCTTTTCTCTAATTTTGACAAAAAAGGTAATTTAAAAATACATTAAACTCACGCTAATAAAAAATGTGAATGCAAATATACGTTCGTCATAGAAGGAATTAGTGTTGCAATAATATAATTAGCAAAATGTGAATGCAAATTATTCGGATGTGTAAGAGGAAATTATTGTTAGAAAATTATAATTAGCATGGATTGATAAAAGGCAATCTTTTATTTATTTTATTCACTAAATGTAGGTCCTACTGTTTATTACTTATAATTTTTAATCAACTATTCAACACTATTATAGACGCGTCATCACGTTCATTAGGTGCGCAATGGTTTTAGTTATGAAACTCTATTGTAAATTTTTAAAATTTAAAGTACTGGAAACAAAAATGCGTGAATGGATAAAGTGAAATATTGTAGGTAAAACACGGATATTTTAAATACTGCCTATTATTTATACTGTTTACGAATTATTATTCTATCTTTCGGTTTGCGGACAAGCTAGGGGTTTTATAGGAGAGGCGTAGCGAGGGGGGGGGGGCATATGTCCCCGGGTGCCGACCTTAGGGGGCGCCAAAGTGGGTTGGAGAAAATTTGCTAGGGGGGGGTGGAAATCGAAAGTTTTAGGGCGGGGGGGGAGGGGGGTGGGGGTGCAAGTCGAAGGTTTGAGAGGGGTGCAAATCACCGGAAAGGGCGCGATTGTGTTTAGTTTTGTTCTGTTCCCTAGTTGGTACATTTAAAAAAGATTTACCGTGGCGGAGCACGGGATGCAGCTAGTATATATATATATATATATATATTTATATATATATATATATATATATATATATATATATATATATATATATATATATATATATATATATATATATATATATATATATATATATATATATATATTTATATATATATATATACTTATATAGAAAATATTACATATTCGGCGCCTTTTTTTGCTATTTCCGTTCCCCCTACAACAAAAACCTGGATACGCCTCTGTAAAGACCCATACACTTACTTAATTAAAACAAAAAAAATTGTCGGCCGTATTAATGACCACGATTGTTTTTATCGCTGACAACAGCATACTACTGATCACATGAAGACTGGTTATTATATAATTTCGTATGTAAACAAAATCTGCGTCAAACTGAAATGATTTGTACACATGGTGCTTCAAGTTTACTGTCGTCTTTTGCTGTGTATTTCTTGTTTTGTCTTGATTCATCTTTGTATGCCGTAGTTTGAACAGAAAATGTCAAGTTAATCCGCATTAGGGACCTCTTTTAAAGCAAAACCTATTTTGTGTTTAGGGTAGAGTGGAGTGGTGACTACGATGTGTATGATGGGTGGGGAATTAGTGGAAGTTATCATTTGTGTAGCGTGTAACTCCGTGTGCTGTAGCATGTAGCTCTGTATTAAAGTTTCGGCAGACATCTTTTTTTTCTCTCAACTTGTACATCTGTATTAGCTTTTATCCAATAAAATGTTAAACAATGTGTTATACAAGATGTTTAATTCAACGTTCTGATGCACCACGAAGCAAAACTATACATATTGATTTTATCATAGTAATAATTTTAACAGACAATTTCTGAATTTAGCAAATAAAATGAAATTATAACAAATTGAAACAAAATTAAACAATAAAACCCAACATCAATTATGTAATTTTAAAGTTCATGTGGAATGGATTTGGATTGATCAAAAAATTTTTTTTTTAAAAAAATCACAAATCATAAAACAGATAATTAGACTAAAAATAAAAACAAAAATATATTTTTAATGTCAGAAACTTAAAACTCTCAGAAATATACAAATCATCAGACCTATATGTTTTTTTTTAATTGATAGGTAGACATTTTAAACATTCTTGTATCATTACACAAAGAATTTTTCGACAAGCCCAAGCAACAGTTTGCAAGTCTCGCATCTTATTTTTGCTCCTCTTTTGTATAATTTTTTGTTGGCGGAGGCTGCAAAAAAAAAAGAGCTCTTGGATAATTTTCATATACATACAAACATACATTCATACATACATACAGACATATATTAGCTTTTTTCAAAATTTGTTTTTAAAATAACTTTTAGGACATTCGGTAATAGTTAAATACAAATGTTTTGAACTATATCTATAAGGGCTTATGTTCCATTTTGTGCTAGCACTCTAATACATCGTATAGTTATATTTTTATTTGGACACATTGTGTGGATAAACAAACTGTAAAGAGTTTACCTGATAAGCTTTCTCCTGTTCAGGAGTCAGCAGCATGTCAAGCTCGTGAGGCTCCGGGTTCACGTCCTCAATCCTATCTCGTTCTCTCGTCAGATTGCCGATGTTAGCTATGTGTTCATCCATCGTCATTATCGGCTTCATTGTCGTATGGTTTGTTGTCTCATCTAAAGTGTCATTGTTCGACTGTACCAACGTCTGATTCGTCGTCTGTAGTGACGTCATATTAGTCATTTGTAATGACGTCTGTGTCGTCATTGGCACTGACGTCCGTGTTGTCATTTGCACTGACGTCCTATTCGTCATCTGCGCTGACGTCTGATGTGTCGTCTTCACTGACGAAATGAGTGGCTGAAATATACATCATCACCAATAGAACTTCTATTTAGCAGATCAACCACTCAAAAAATATAAATAAATTTGACTTAAATTCTAAACAAATTTAAGAGGTAATAAAGCTTAGTACAAATATTTCTCATTCTGCGAAATAATATGCAAAATTCGTAATCTATGCCACTTACAACGATATTAATTTTAAATGTAAAAGAATAACTCGAATTTTAGAATATTTTAAAGAGTTATTCTCTGAAACGAACTACATACGTCACAATATTCAAAGAACGATACTTACTACGCCAGCAAACGACACCACAAGCAGGAACAAGGTGCAAAATCCGGTGCTAGACATTTGTTGTGATTTTCAGGTTGAGTTTACTGTTTGCTTTAGTTCTGACTGACAGAGGTTTTCAAACTGTTTGCTTCGAAGTAATGCATCCACCGGGCTGGCTTCTATCTTATATATTTTATATTTCATTGAAGAAGAAAATAATCAAGGGCGTAGCCTAAGTATTAGCGAATATGTTTAGGACTATATATGCAGTGTTTCTTCCAGACTTTTTTCTCAGGGGGGGGGGGGGGTGGGCACTTGAAATTTTGGGGGGGGGGGGCGGTAGACTTTCTTCGGGGGGGGGGGGCAGACAATGTTAAAAGTATATATTTTCTATATAAATTATATAAATTTCATTTCGTTCGGGGAGGGGGGGGGGGGGCGGTAAAAAATATTCGGGGGGGGGGGGGGGGGGGCTTCGCCCAAAGAGATGCTTGGAAGAAACTCTGTATATATGGTCGTTAACTTCTATGCAATATGTGCAGGCCTATTTTTGATTGTTAAACTTAGATGTTTGCTAGTTAGCTAAATATGGTTCAAATTTTGTGCAGCCACGTCCACGCTCCAACATCTGGTCGATTTAATTCTCACGTCCACTACTTGGTATTTCGTATTTTGTTTTTGGTGTATCCAATAGGGTAAACATTTAGTAAACGTGAGGTAATCATGCAATAAACATGTGGTAAAAGTGTATAACAGTCTTTGAAACTGATGCCATTCTTACTTGTTTTTATTGGGTTGTTTTTTTTTTTTTGCAAAAGTATAACTTCAGTACATATCTGTAAAACAGTTTGTGCCTTATACAAATTCAATTGACACATTAAATTTAATGCACACGCTTATATATATATATATATATATATATATATATATATATATATATATATATATATATATATATATATATATATATATATATATATATATTATGTGTGTGTGTGTGTGCATGTGCGTGTGCGTTGGTTGTCATGTGTACATATGACTGTGTATCATATATATATATATATATATATATATATATAAATATATATATATATATATATATATATATATATATATATATATATATATATATATATATATATATATATATATATATATACTGTAGAAAAAAGTTCTGGTTGATAATATATATTATTTTAATATCGATGTTGCTTTTAATAAAGGTGTTAACTAACTACCACAATTTTTTAGAGTCATATTTTCACACCTCTCTCGGTATCAGCACCCGCGTCCCGTAACTGCTATGACAAATAGATTGGAAACTACTCATTGACTCCGGCTAGGCATCACCCTGTCTGTCTGTACAACTCAAAGTTAAATCAGTAATAACGAGTGCAATCGCCTGCACTTCTTGCGTTCGTCCCTAAAACTCAAGATCCCTAGGCTGCTAATTTAATTGGCTTCATTAGTTGGGCTGCTAACCCGTAAGTCTCGAGTTCGAATCCGGGTTAAAGTCAGTAGACCGTCCCTGAGTCCACCCAACTGTGATGGGTACCTAACTCACGTTAGGGAAAGTAACGGCGACTGGGCATAGTGCTGACTACACTATCTCTTCATATGCTGAGGTCACAGAAACAAATGAACTTTACTTCACTTGCCCCATAGACCGTCATGTTTCAAAGGGAAACTTTACTTTACACATTAACTCATTAACCGTCCTTGAATTATTAATTGTTGCCTGTTAAACCTTCATCTTAATTCGCAACAAAAAAGCCACATTTTGGTTATTACGTTGCCAACCGCCACATTAATGTGCCTAAATTAATAAATTAGTAATTATCCAACCATTATCTATTACCCTACCAGAATTCGAAACGGCATAACAATCGTAACGCCTCTGTTACATTTCAAAAACATGTCACTGCCTTTAATCAAAGCCGTTAATCTTTTTAGAGCTCGAACTAAGTATAAAATCCCATCATGGTATTACTAGCATTATATCTGTAAGTTTTTTTTTTGACATTTGTTTAATTGTTATAAAGATAAATTATTTCTGGCACAGTAACTAAATTAAACTAATTAAACACGTTGAAATTTCATCCATCGGTGATGGTGCGGTTGTGGTCGAATAATAGAGCCTTAGACTGCTAATCCGAATGCCTCGAGTTCGGATCACATGCTTGAGCCGGTTGTTCGTTCATGAGTCTACCCAGCTCTGATCGGTATCTTACTCGCGTTTAAGAAACTAAAAGCGGCTGACCATACTATCCCTTCAGGTCTCTGAAACACGTGAACTCTACTTTACCCGCTTCTTGGTCAGTAGGGTTCGAAAGGCTGCTATAGTTTTTCACTTAGGTTACTGTGTTGTATCCAATTAAAATACAATTTTAGGAAGAGGGGGTCACACTCAACTAAACATGAAAATTGTTGGGGGGGGGGGGGGAGGGGGGAGGGGAGGGAGGGGAGGATGTGGGTTGACTGACACCTTTAGTAAACCCACAGGGGGACATCCGACCTTGTGACGTAACTAACCAAACACAATTTTAAAAAGTTGCTTATGATTTATTAAGATGTTTTTTACTTTCTGGTATATACGAAGTATAGAGAAAGTCTTGTAATGTGCAAAAAAAAAAAAGAAATAGAGATTTTTGTAAATCTCGACGTTGTACACCTCCCTGAGTCGGAAAAACATAGTTTTGCAATCTTGTCCGTATGTGTGTGTGTGTGTGTCTGTAAACACGATAAATTGAGTACCGTTACAGCTAGGTTGATGCAATTTCATATATAAGCGATTTCCGATAACCGGAAGTGGAACTTTTTCTACTTTGAATTTTTGAGTACTATTTCAGATAGATAATTGAAATTTCAGATGTAAATAAAAGATCTAATTTTCTACCTTCTGTCAAATTTTGAGTAATATCCGTAATATCCGTTGACCGGAAGTAATACTTTACGCTATTTCTTTTTCTCAAAAGCGAATGTAAATTTATAAAGTACTAATAATATTCCGCACTATTATGCACATTTGGCGTTCACTTCGTGTGCAATTCTTTTTCAACGAGATTTTATTATATTTTAAAAAGTTTAAGTATTTAAAATGGATTAAAAATCATGTCTATATCCCGAGCTCCCATCCCCTGTTGTTCTATATAAGAACTAGGCATGCTGCCCAGCTTCGCTTAGGCTTTCGAAAACATTGAGAATTTGAATGCTTAATTAATTCGTCCGAGGGTCGTTCTACGACCTCAGGAGTTATGAAGAGGTTCCTACGTGGACATTTTTTTTTCGCTTTATAGCACATATAAGGCGCCGGTCAGTCGAGGTCAGTTTTGACCCCCTCATCGTAGACTTTTCGGCCAACCGGCCCCCGTGTTCTGTTGCCCCAAGGCAAGATCCTGCCAAATTTGAAGCGCCCGACAACTTTGCTTTATATATTGATAGAGATTAGCAAATTGCATAGATAAACAAAGATTTCAATAAAGTAATTAAGGCCTGAAATACTTTAGTATAGAAATGTATTGTTTGAATAGATTCTAGATCTAGGTAGGGTCTACATCTGTGTAAGTCTAGTTTTTCCGTAGATCTAGATTCTAGATCATCTAGATCTAGATCTAGATACTCTAGATCTAGATTATCTAGAATATCTAGATCTAGAATATTTAGATCTAGAATCCTAATAGAATTTTTTGTTTAAGTTTAGCCCGAGCAAAATAAAAAAAAAAATAGATAACCAAGTTTGACTTGGTGTGTCTCGAACCCGAACCACCTGCGTGGTTTTAAGTATACTATCATCTCAGCAATTTAGTCACCTTATAATACATGGAGAATGAAAGACGTATTTTAAAATCTTAACGTACACGAATATGCCTATTCTTTCAAATTAATTTTTTTATCCCAAATTAGCCAGTTCCAAACAAAGATTTTGTATAAAATAATTAAGTCTTGAAATAGTTTAGTCCTAATATAGAAATTTATTTTTGGAATAGATTCTAGAGTAGTTAAAGTCTAAATCTAGATCTTAGCGTCTACTTCTATTTATTGCGTAGATTTAGATCTAGTCTAGATCTAGAATATCTAGATCTAGAATCCAAATAAATAAAATAAATTTTATGAGTTTAGGCCGGAAAAATTGTACTGTATACATTTCATACAGTACGTAGATCTAAATCAAATTTGAATGAAATAGTTCATTTCTTTTTATTCTAAACACGGCAGATGACGTCATTAGTTGATGTATAAACATTAGTGACGTCACAGTTTTATGCGTTCTTTTTCACATCTATAAATGCTTTTCCTGTTGCATAATTAAAATTGTTTTTCTACATTCGAATACGCCTTTATATTTTATTTTTCTTCTTTAAATAAAATTGTGGTATACATTTAAAAATCTAACATATTATTTTCAACAAAAGTCCGTATAAAGTTCTTCATATATCGCTGCAGTTTCTGATGTGATATCCGGCGAAAATATTTTGCGGACAGACAGACAGAGAGAGAGAGAGAGAGAGAGAGAGAGAGAGAAGTGCGCACGTGGGCCATTATATATTAGGATATTCGAGAAAGTTTAGGGGAGATCACTCCCGGTTTATTTTTCACGCTTTAAATTTGGAAAAACAACCCCTATTAGCTGGCCAAGCTACTGACCCAAAGGCATACCTACAATTTGTTTCATAACATCATCATAATGAGCAAATAGTCAGGTTTACAAATTCCATCATTTACATCAATGCGTTGCTGCGGCTTAGTCGTACATACCAGTGTGACAAAACATTGTACAAGGGTTTTATCATCGCGTTACCAATCGTGTATTTTTACTTTCTCGTATATACGAAGTATAGAGAGAGTCTTGTAATCGTGCAAAAAAACAAAAAATCGAGATTTTCACAATTGTCGACGTTTTACACCTCACTTATACGGAAAAACATAATTTTGCAATCTTGTCCTTATGTCTGTGTGTCTATCTGTGTGTGTGTGTGTCTGTCTGTCTGTGTGTAAACACGATAACTTTAGTACCGTTACAGCTAGGTTGATGAAATTTCATATATAAGTATTTTATCAAAATCGTAGATCCGTATCAACTTTTGAGCGATTTCCAATAAACGGAAGTGGTACTTTTTCTACTTTGAATTTTTCAAAAGCCTATAACTTGAGTACTATTT